TGTGTTATATTTGAGAAAGAAGCAATGAGATAGTTTCAAAACAGGTTAGTATGACAGTTACAACAATTAATACATTGCATATTGTCTCTGTAGTAGTTATTCATAGTACAAGATGCAGACATAATATCTTGTCTAAACACTATTAGCTCAAAACTTTTTCTCACTGAACTAAGAGAAAGTAGCTGTATATCTATGCTATTTTGTATATACAGATATATTTTTTCCACTACAAAATGGACCTTCATTTATATCCCCCTTTTTTGTTTACTTTTGTCAGAGATGGGTATTCCATTGTCATTCATATATTGTAGGTGCGTGAATTCAGCAAAGTAATCCAATATAGTCCAGTAGTCTATAATAGTAGTGGGTTATCCACATGACTGGCAATATCAGAAGTTGCTGACTTGAGCCTTTTATAGCTCAGCATGTTAATATGGCTTTAGTCTTTATACCTCGTTTTTATACTTTTCTGCTGGATGGATGATTAAGACCAAGATAAAGCAAGACCTATATAACAAAAATGTAATTTTTGTATCTAACAAGGTCAGTCAAATCCCCTCAGGATTTACCCTGAAATCCTGTACAGTAGTTTGTAGATCATTTATCATTGTCAGCTACATAGATGAGTCATGGCCATTGCTTGACCAATTTGCTCTCTGTGAAAGCCTGAGAGAATGTTTTCTCTCCAGGTGACTCTCCTTAGGCACACAGTACATCATCGATCACTTTCCTCTGTGGTCCCATAATGCCCATCACCTGAGGAATGGATGAAAAAGATGTGGTATTTTTATACAATGGAGTATTACTCAGCTATAAAAAATGATAAACTTGAAGCCTTCATATATAAATGGATGCCACTTGAAGATATACTCGTAAGTGAAATAAACCAGACCCACATGTGTAAATATCATATAGTCTCTCTTTATTTCAAAAGAAGAAATAAAAATTGAAAGGTATAACATAACTAAATGAAAAGCGAGAATCTAAACATCTTTTTAACATCTTTGAATGAATTTTTCCTCAATCTTGGCAGGTGTGGCTGGGCCTAAGTTTCTTGGGCCTATCCTTTCATCCCAGCCCAGCCACCAGATCAGCCGGCTGGTTAGGAGCTCTTTTAGTCCTAGTCTGTACCTAGGCAGGTCCCCTAACAGTCTCCTTCGTCTACACATCCCAGTGCACTAAAGCTCAACAGTTTTCCTCATGCTTTGTCTCTCACCTCCTCCATAGACACCTGGTGCACTGTGGCCATCCCTGTTCCTGGTTGTATGTGTTATTTTGTTTTTCTCTCAAGGTGGTGTAAGTTTTGCCCAAACTATCTGTGGGCCACTTCTACCTGTCCTGGGAACCACCCTTGTTGCAGACCACCACTGAGGGTCATACCTGCTGCTCTGACTTGAGGTATAAGTTTCATCTGATTCTTCCTGAGTCATCCTGTTCTGTATACCCAGGGAAGTGATTAGTTTCACTTTCTGTCTTAACAGAATAGGTCTTACTCCTGAGGCCCCAACATTTTTCTGCAGCCCTATATCACGCTGTTCCAGAATCATCCTGCACCCCTACAGATTCTGTTGCACTGGCAGGGGAAAGGTTGCCACACTGCGAGCAGGCTGATTCCATCTCCAAGCTGAAGTCTCTCTCTGTAGCACAAGAGATCTTAGGACTCCTGAAGCTCTGGGCCTTCCCAGTTCCACAGGCAAGGGAGACAGCACATCTGTTTCCTAAGCGTTGCAGAATTCAAGAGATCAAAGAGGCCAGTGGGAAAACTGGAGGATTTTATTCTAGGATTTTTAGGAAGGAGTAGCCTCATTGAAAAACTCCTGCCTTCACTGTAATTGTTTATAAAATGATGCTACCTGCTTCTTGCATGTCCTGCCACCTTAAAACCAGACTTTCCTCTTCCAAGTTCCCAAAGAGGACCAACTTTGACAACAAAACATAAGAATTTTATAGAAAGTTGAGCTGTCTAGTGCTCCTCTCACTTCAGCCTTCTCCTACCAAGAGGAAGGTGCTTCTCCAGGCAAAGTTCTCAGATCCTCCAGCACTCTTATAGGGATTGCCAGACTTCAGCCTCAGTTGGATCCTTGTGTCAGCACCATGTGGAAGTTGTGGACACTATTTCAGGTTCCCGTTCTGCCCTTGTTCCTTGTTAAGGTTTTGAAGGTCTCAATTTCTATAAGACAGAGGTAGTAATGGGAGGAATCCTCCTTATTTATCCTGGATTGCTGCTATTGTCTGCGCATAATCCTGCTCACTCAGATCCAGGATCTGCAGCATTCCAGACAGTCCCAGTCTGGTTTTAGGACTGAGGAGTCAGTGCTTAGCTTTGAGATCAACTCTTTCTTCTCATTAAGGACATCTCCATGCATCCGTGCGCCACCAGTCAGCAGATTTTTATCACAGGTGGCTTTGGGCAGCAGATATATTAGGTGGCTGGAGGTGGCAGGGTGTAGCTAAAATTGGAGAGGGGAGTGGAGCAAGTGTGGCCACTGCTCAGGGTCACATGTGCAGCCGTTTTGTGGTAGCTTGCCCAGTGTGCGCAAGTGCTCTTCTTAGCTTTTTAGGTAGAAATCTTCCTTGTTACAAATAATTGCTTTTTTATGGTTTCAGGGTTTGTTTATTGTGGGTTCTAGTTATTTTTTTGTTTCTAGAATGGAAACAATGCTAGTTTAAACATTCTTTCAAAATTTGATTATTTTGGAACTGTGACAGAATTTTCCATGGCTAAAACCTCTTTTAAAAAATAAAGGCACAAATGTTACAGATTGTTTACAAACAAAAATAATTAAATCGTAGCAGGGTTTTTACTTCTCAGTTACTGTAGATATAGTTTTAAAACTAAGCTTAGACCCTGTTTTATTAGTATATGAAAAGTTGCCCTTTCTCTATTTGCATAGGTGATTGCAACCATGACTGTGTTGACTTCCAGGTGGGTGTATGTCCCCTTTGGTGAAGTGGGAGGTTTAGGAGAAAAAACTACTTTCTGTTTTTTGTTTTGTCTTTTTGAGACAGAGTTTTGCTATGCAGTTCAGGCTGGCCTAGAGCTCACTTTGTAGCCAGGCTGGTCTCAAACCTGCAACGATCCTCCTGCCTCAGCCTCCCAAGTGCTGGGATTACAGACATCTGCCACCATCCTTCACTAATAAAACTATTTTCATTTGATCTTTCTTTGTATATTTACATAACAGATTTATAGGGAAATTGTATTTTATGTTTAAACTTTAAACAGTTGTGATTTATCCCAGAATATTTTTAGTTTGTCAATCTTACTTTGTCCTTTCTTTTCTTATTTCCCTATCTTTAAGGTAGTCTGAAAAATATAGACTGCTACTCTGGCCAAACTGATACCCTCAGTGGCATTTTATTTATTTTTGTGGTGGAATCAGGGATTGAACTCAGGCCATTGTGTTTGCCAGGCAAGCACTTAGCCTACTGAGCTATCTCCCTGGCCCCCTGAGACCCTCAATGGAAGCTAGCACCCTAATGTTACTTGCCTCACATGGGATGTGGCTTGAGTTTCATAAAACTCCCTTCATGTGCTTATTTAACTAAAAATGATTCCATGTGTTCTATCTTGGTGTTCTTTTCTCTAATTTATATGTAGACAATCAGTCTATAACATTCTTGTGAAAAGTAGTAATGTGTTCACCTGTAGCTTTCCTGGTTTATATCCTCATTGGTCTATGATGAGAAAAGTGGAGATAAAAGTTCTGAATACTTAATCTGGGAAAAGGGGAACAGGAGAATTAATTTAGTAGAATCAACCTCTATATTCATTAAAACCAGTTTAAAGTATGTGTGTATACATGTGTGCACGCACATACATTTTATTTATAAAAAATTTCTGCTAAAGGTAATTTTTACAAGTTTATTCTTTAATTTCTTTGGATATTTTATAAACAAATGTAAATTTATGTTAAAACATTATTTAAACATAACTACAGAATAGAAATTGATCTAGTACCAAACAATTTCATTCTTGTTTATTTCCATCAATCTTTAAATTAATTCTTTGAACATGTTAATAGGGCAAAAGGAACTGACTGGTAATACTAAAAGTTAGAATTCTGTGTTATACAGTGAAAGGGTCTCAAAATTTATTTTTCTTATTGTTTCTGTGGTACTGGAGAATTGAATCCAGGAACTTTTGCATGCTAGGTAAACACTGTACCACTAAGCTACATTCCTAACCTTGGCATAAAATTCTAGAGAGCCAAAAATAATTGGCTTAGGAATATTTTTTGTTGGTGAATAAGAATATAAAACATATTCTTAAAAGGGAAGTACCAGGCTTTCAAACATACTAACAAAGTCACAATATTAAAGTAGTATGGTAGAGCCCCAGGATTAGATGTATATAGGTCATTAAAGAATAGAAATAAATGCTGTTACTTTGGAAATAAATGCTGTTGCTCATCATTGCAAATTTACTTATGTAAATTTGACATATGTTCAAGAAGCCAATGTTGAAACAGTGGGTAAAGGATAATCTAATGGTAGAGTTGGAATAACCAACTACTAATTTTGAGGAAAAAATAATCTAAATGAAAATACCACAAAATAAATTTTAGATGAATTAGAATTACATCACTGAAAACCTGGAAGGTAACCTGGTGCTGTGGAGGTGTTTCCTGTTCTACTAGCTACTTGGGAGGCTGAGACAGAAAGGATGCTTGAGTCCAGTAGTTCAAGGCTAGCCTGGAAAGCTTATCAATACTTTGTATCAAAAAGAAAAGAAAAATATCAAGAAGACTTATTACCTTATAATTTATCCAGTGTTCCCAAGCCATTAGAAAATTTAAGACAATAAACAGACTTCATAAATGAATGCTGCATTTTTTTTAACTATCTCTGTGCGTGTTTTAGAACAATGGATCTAATTCTGCATTCAGCACTCTGAAAGTTAGACTGCTTCCTAACTTTCATGTCAGCTGGAAATCTCTTACAATATACTTTAATTAACAGAACATAGATGCATTCTTTATCTGAAGTTTCTCCTACAGGTGCGTTGAAAATTACACAGGAGCACGTTGTGAAGAAATTTTTCTCCCAAGTGCCAGCATCCAAACCAAAAGTAACCTGCTTGTAGCTTTTGTGGCATTGGCTGTTCTGGTCACCCTCACCATTGCAGCTCTCTACTTCCTTTGCAGGTAATCAACATAGAGACATACTCTTGAAAAAAAGTAATCCTGTATATAAAGTAGTGATTCCGCTAAATAATTACTTTTTTACATCTAGATGTTTTTCCAGTTTATGTTCAGGGTTATCTCTTGAATACAGTTTCTGTTATGTAGGTAAGAAGTCATTTTTAAAGGATTTATTTATTTGGTACAGGGTCTCACTACACAGCTCGGACTCATTATAATCCTCCTGTCTCAGCCTCCCCAGTACTGGGATTACAGGAATGTGGTACTGGAAATCAAACCCAGGTCCTTGTGCTTGCCAGGCAGGTGTTTAGACCACTGAGCTATCTCCTCAGCCCAAGAAGTCATTTTTAAAGCATCTTTTTTTTTCATTTATGTATTTGGTACAGGGTCGTGATCATTATGCAGCTTGGACTCGTAGTGATTTTCCTGTTTTTCAGCCTCCCCAGCGCTGGGATTACAGGTCTGTGCCACCACGCCTGGACTCTGTCACCAGCTCAGTGTACCCCAGAGAGGGGGTAGGCATTGTATGCAGGACCAGGGATTGAATCATGGTCCCTGCACTTACCAAAGCAATTGCTTAGCCCGCTGAGCTATCTCCCTGGCCCCATTTTTAAAGCATCTTAATCCATTAAGTTTGTTCTTTGTTACTGTAACTATTATTTTTATAGTTTGACTTCTCTGAACTACTGAGGTGTATGCACATTTCAGTATAGTCATCATGACAGAACACTCCAAATATTGGTCAAGGTCTATCTTAAACAAGTCTTGAATATGAAAAAGAAACAACTTATGCAATTACTATAAATAAAAGTTGAAAACATTGTTATCTAGGGTCTCCTTTTTATTCAGTGCCTGCTAGGTGGTGGGCATTGTATTTACCACAATGAATATAATAGTGAACAAGGAAGACATACTCCCTAATTTTTAGAGGAGACAAGTCTATTTGGCAAGATGGATAAATACACAGGAGACAAAAGAAAAAATTACCTTAATGAAATGATACTATCCATTGAAGGTGACTTTCATTCATTAGTATTGATTTTCATAAATTTTTTAAATTTTGTGAAAACAAATTAAGATGGAATTAAGTTTAACTCTCTGGTATCACAGCTTATCATTGATATTTATAAAATGCACATTGTATGCTCTCTGGTAGTTGTGAAAATGAGATGAGGGTAGTCATTAAAGAGATGTAAATTGACTTGATAATTTTATATGATCAGAAAGAGAACATGCAGGTAAAACAGTATTGCATAAAATCTGTATTTCTTTTTTTTAATCTGTATTTCTGAACTACTTTTCATCAAGGAAAAATTTGGATGGAGCTTCTTCTTAAGTATGTGGGATTATGTATTTTATTTCAAAAAGCATTACAGGAGAGACATCCAAATAGCTCAGTGGATTAAAGTGCCTGCTTAGGCAGACACAGGGGTGGGGAGTGCGATTCCCCCGCCCCCAGGGCGCACTGAGACTGGGCGTGGTGGCATGCACCTATAATCCCAGCACTTGGGAGACTGTAAACAGGAGGATCACTAGGAGTCCGATCTACATAGTGAAACCCTGTATACACTGTACACCCTGTCCTAAATACAAAAATAAAAACCTAAAAGCATCACAGGAGAAATCCAGGTTTTATATCTCATGCCACCTGAGTTCTTCATATAGAAAAATATACATACAAGTCCATTGTATGGGACTGTGTTTCTTAAAGGTGGCCGTTCAGTATCTCTCGTCCCTTAGAGCTCTATGGCAGTGTGGTCTTGTCATGCACCTACCCCATGGATTTTCACTTAAGTTTTTGAATCTGCATAAATTGTAGGATTGCTTTGGCCATAGAATACTGCAGGAGTGATACTGTTTTAACTAAGGACATAGCCTTTAAGTAGCCTAGTGACATCCATCTCTTGCCACTCCTACTCAGGATGCTTCCTCATAGAATTGGGACATGTGCCAGCCATGTCACTGAGCTATTGTAGGCATCCAGCTCACTGAACTCTCATCTGACTCCTGAAATAGCTGTAGTCTTACACAGATCCCAAGCAAACAGTTTTCCCCAATCACCAGGAATACTTAACAATTCAAAAAATAGATGCACTTAGTTGTCCTAGTTTGAATTTCTATACAAAATTTCATAGGATGACTGGCCCGAATAACAAAAGTTTACTTCTCACAGTTCTAGAAGCTGAGTGTCTGAGACTAGTCCGGTATGGTCAGGTTTGATGGAGACCCTGTTTCTAGTTTCAAATTGCCATCTTCTTGTTGTGTCCTCATGTGGTGGACTGTTGGGAAAGACTCAGGGGTGCTGGTGGCAAACAAAGACACACGGACAATTCATGTCAGCACAACAAGGGCTCGAGCAAACAGGCTGCCACCCTGCCTTCAGTCATTATTTTTATATATCTTGAGTCTCAGCCTTTGGGTTACTTTAGGTGAACATAACAAGATCCCATCATATGTGTCCAAGATTAATGTTTAGGCTATATGTGAGAACGTGTTAAGCATCTGGGAGCAAGGACACAAAAACAGGGTGTCCTCGAGTTCCAAGTGTTCTTGGTTACTCCTGCAGCTGTTGTTGCCCTGTTTTCTTTTTCCTTGTCCCACATGTCCTGCAGGTTATTCAGCATGCCTCTATGTATATTAACTCTTATCCCAACTGTGGACATAGAGAGTTCATCTGATTAGAAGGGCACTATGTAGGAAAAATAAACTGCCTTTATCGATACTCATACCACACCCACCAATACAGATGTCTGTGACCTCAAAATAAGACATAAATAAGAAAAACTGAAATTTAAGCCAGGCGTGGTGATGCACACCTATAGTGCTGGAGCAGTTGTAACCCCAAACTAATCTAGCAACTTAGTGACTTAACGAGATCCTGTCCCAAAAGTAAAAATCAAAAGAACTGGGGATGCAGCTCAGTGTGAAAGCTCCAGATTCAGTGCTTAATAAAACAAAAGGGAGAGAGAGGGGAAAGAAATAAATATAAAAGTATAAAATAAAAATAGACAAAGCTATCACAATAGTTAACTTTTAATGTTTCACTTTCAGAAATTTATAGGAAGATAAAAGTCAGTAGCATAAGATTTTAACAAGGTTGATCTATTAGACTTAACCTACAACACAATACCAATCATTATAAAATTCTTATAAGCTCATATACAGTATTGAGGGAATTATTTTGTATTGGCAATAAAGAAATTTTCAACACACATCAGAATTCTACCATTCATCTAGTTGTGGTGGTACATGAAGGTATTCTATGCTATTCAAGAGGCAGAGGCAAGATTGCAAAGTCAAGCCCAACCTGTACAACTTACCAAAATAAATGGTCTCAAAATAAATTGCCAAAAATTTATTTGGCAAAAATAAATTGATAAAATGGACTTAGAAGGTACCTGAGGAGTAGAATATTTGTCTAGCACACATGATGACCTATGTTCAATCCCCAGTATTGTGCAAGAAAAAAAAGATTGATATTATACTACATAGACTGTTATACTGTATTGTAGATCCTGAGCATGAATGACTATATTGGAAAATAAGTGACAAATGATAACTGTAGGAGGTTTTAAGCATACTTCTGTATAATTCATGGGTCAAATAACTTGTAATGCAGTTTAGGAAATATTTTTACCTAACTATAATGAGAATATTGTAATACTGTATTACACATCTGTGAGATGCCTGCCAGCAGGGGAAATTTATTATCCAAATATTTTTATGAAAAAAGACATCCTGAAAATAAATAAGCTTAATATTCTTTGTACTAGGTTATGAAAAGACTAGCAAAATAAATATCAGGAAAACAGCAATAAATAATAAAGAGCAGATATTAATTAAAATAGACATATAACATGTATAATAGAGATAATACTGCCAAAATTTGCTTCTTTGAAAAGATCGGTAAAATTGACAAACTGCTGTCTATAATTTTAAAAAAAGAGAGCAGATGCCCAAATGAACAATATTAGAAATATAAAAATTCTATCACTGAGATCATATAAGCATTTAAAATATAATAGTCAAGCTGGGCTGTAGCTTAATGTGGAGTCCATCCTTGCCTATCATTGTGAGGCTCTGGGTTCTATTTCTGTCAACATACACACAAAGAAAAATATGTTGTGTAATTCCATGATAGTGTACCTCAAAAAAGATTAAATGCAAAAATCTCTAAAAACATAGCTTCCCCAAACTTCCTATGCCTGTACCTATTAAAGCTACAACCAGTTGTGTGAGCTTACTCATATCATGGAAGGTATCTGTTCTCCTCAAAATCCACATACAGATGTTAATCTCATCCATAAAACACCTACATAGAAACATCTATGATAAATATCTAGTTGCCATGGCCTGACCAATGACTCTTTCATTTTAGACCATTTGCAAAATAGATATAAATTTAATTAGTAAGAAAAATAGCATCTTTAACATTCCTACAGAAATGACATTCATTAATTTTCAGATAAGGTTGTAATGTGCTTGAAATAATGTATTTTACATTTTTGAATGACAAAATAGGCAGAGGTAATTTTATATGAAGATATGATCAAAGATCTGTGTCTTAATGCCAAGAGCAGAATTTAAAAAATGAATAACTGTGGAATCTAAATATAAAATCTGTCATATACTGACCACAAGAAATGCTGTTGTGTTTGCAAAAACATAGTACTTTCAAAAATTAAAACAATTCATTGTTTACCATAACAGTTTCCAGGTCCATTAATGGTTGAAATTGCTTTAAGCTAAGGGCCCTGTGAATGTCATAATTACTGTTATCTTTGAATGAGGTCCAAGCTGATACTCAAAGAATGCTAAGATCTGGGTTAGAATCAAGGAGCAGAAACTAGAGTACATTCAGAAAAGGTTCCATTTTGCTATGGTAAATACAGTCTTGAACTTACTTTCATTAATGTAAATTTGTACTCCTGAGCATTGGCATATTGAAAACATTAAAGCAAGTTTATATTCCAAAATTTTATTTAATAATTACAATAATTTTTAAAAACTCTGCCATGATCACGAGTCATACCAATACTAATTGATGAGATAACAAAAAAATAATCTGATGAATTATAACCTTAAAAAGATCCACAATGTTTTTTTTTTTAATTGCTGTTAATAAAATAGTGCACAATAGCTGCCCTGTGTTACTAAAGGGTCCAACTAACAGTGGAAACTTTTTTTTTTTTTCAATATCAGTGATCAAACTTGGGACCCTGCACTTGGTAGGCAGGTAACTTATGTCACTGAGCTATACGCCCAGCCCTGGAAACTCACCTCTAAAAAACACAGAAACAGCTTCCTACGCCCCTAAGATATAGCATATAGGCCCTCTTAAAACAAAAAGGCCAAGTTTCAGTTTTTTGAATAAAATTAACTTCCAGATACAGTGGTTAAGTTCAAAATCTTAATTTGCTTTATAATTTTGTACAAGATGTTTGTGTTTCGTTTGAGAAAGATGGCTGCAATTGTGTTTGTTACCTGACGAATTTGCAAACAAAAACAAACTTTTGTTAAACCGTTTGTTTGTGACCCATATAGTACCTCCTTTCCCATCTGTGTGTTTCTTTCTCTGCTCTGTCAGGAAGGGCCACCTCCAGAGGACTAGCTCAGTCCAGTGTGATGTCAGCCTGGGAGAGATGAGCAGGACCAATGCCCACCACAGTGAGTACATTCAAAACAAAATGCTTAAAATCCCTCATGTGGTTCTTGTTCCACATCAGGATTTGGATTTGGTCTACATTAACCCTAAATTTTTTCCATCAATTTTATTTAAGCACCATTTTCACATGAAGATCTAAAATTTTTTTTTCTATTTTTAATCTGTATATTTATTTATTTTGTACAGGGTCTTGCTACAGTTTGGACTCATAGTGATCCTCCTACCTCAGCCTCCCCAGTTGTGGGATTACAGGTGTGCACCACAATACCAGGTTTTAGTGTCTGACACAGCATATGGTACCAGGGATAGAACCCAGGTCCTTGCGCTTGTCAGGCAAGCACTTAGACCACTGAGGTATCTCACCAGCCTGGAGATTTTTTTTTTTTTTTTTTAAGACAGGATCCTGCTATGTAGTTCTGGCTGGCCTTGAACTCATGGCAATCCTCCTGTCTCCTGCCTCCTAATTATGCTGGCATTACATGTATGTGCCACCATGCCTGATGAAGATAAATCTTTTATTAGCATTATGACATAAATCTTCTTTCTTTCTAAAATAAATTAAGGTTATCTCATGTTTTTAGCTGTAAGATACTGTACAGCTAAAAGGAACTGGTTTTCACAAGTATTCTGAGGGCTGGGGAGATAACTCAGTGGCATAAGTGCCTGCCTGGCAAGCGCGAAGTCCCAAGTTCAACCACTGGTACTACGAAAAAAAAATATTCTGCAGTAGACTGGTATATATGTAGCAAAGTAGTTTCACCTATATGATAAGTAAAGCCTTTGAGAAATTTGTGGACAAATTAATGTTTTTAAACTGTTTTGAAATTTCTACTGACTAAAATCGAAGAACAGATATTGGACTTAGTTCCTCGTACTTGAAATGGTTTTAAAAAATGGAGAAAACATATAAAGCAATGGTTTTATTTAAGACATTGACATTAGACAGCAAAAGACCATTAGCCTGATATATGGGAAACAGGGGGCTTGCCCCTTAACTCAGTTCTTTAAGTGGCTGCTTCAACAAAGCAGTCAGGCTCAGGTTGCTGTGGTTCGATCCTCACAACTCAAGCCAGCCAAACCTGCCCTGAAGGCATTCGGAGCAAAAAAAAAAAAAAAAAAATTCCTGATATATGGGAAATAGGAGGTGAGCCGAAGACTGCCTTCTGTTACTGCCTCACCAGACTTCTAGGCTGCAGCACATGGTGGGTGCCCCAGCTGAGCATGGAGAACACCAGAGTTGAGAATACAGATCTGAGAGACCTGTGAAAGGATTAAAGGCACCCAGTACTCACATCAGAGAAAGTGCCTCTTCCCAGTTAAAAAAACCTCACTATTCATAGGGCATAAGGGAGAACACATACACAAATGTTTTCCAGTAGTGGGGATAACTAGCCCTATGTTAAGGGCTGCTTCATACCATCTTACAAAATTAAAAGCACAAAGGGACCAGAAGCAAATTGTTTCCAAGTAACTGCATCCCATATCAGAGCTCAACAGTACAAAAATTATCCAGTTTTCAATAGGTGAAATTCACAATGTCTCATATTCAATAAAAGATAGCCCATCTTCAAAGAAGTGGGAAATCTGTTTAAAAATGAAAAACATCAGTACCTTGATATTCATGCAGATGTTAAACAGAACAAAAGGCTGACTCTCCCCTACAGAGAAAAAAAATCTGTCGGCAAACTCCAACTTGATTGGCAGCCAGGCCACTTCCTGTTCCCCAGTAGGCTGCCTATGACTTGGCCTCTCCTGCTGTTTGTCCTGCACCTCTCCATCAGAGTTGAGACTTCCCATTGGCACCACAGCTGCAGTAGTTAGTTCCATAGAATAAATACACACACGTTCTGTTTCTCTGGAGAACTCTAACATATCCACCTAAATACAAAGTTTAATATATGTGAGACAAAAACTAATAGAGTATCAAGAAAACAAGACAAACCCACAATTATCATCAGAGATTCCAATACCTTTCTCATAATGATTTGTAGAATATGTAGATTCTTTTTTTAAAAATGAAGATTTACTAGATTTTAGCTAGGGAGAAAGCTCAGTGGCTTTTGAGTGCCTGCCTGGCAAGTGCAAGGTCCTGAGTTCAATCCCTGGTACAAAAACAATAACAACAAACAAGGGCTGGCGAAATAGCTCAGTGGATTAAAGCGCATGCAAGCAGGTGCAGGGGCCTGGATTTGATCCCCGGGGTGCACTGAGAGGGCAATTGAGACTGGGCATGGTGGCACATGCCTGTAATCCCAGCTCTTGGGAGGCTGTAAACAGGCAGATCACTACGAGTCTTATCTAGTAGTGAGACTCTGGACACCCTGTAGACCCTTCCCTAAAATAAACACACACACACACACACACACACACACACACACACACACAAAACCCAATAAACAAACAAACAAAAAAAACCCCCTAGATTTTAACAATACATAGTCATATCAAGGAACTGAACATAGTATGTATCCATAAAACCCTCTATCTAAACAGTAGAATGCACCCATATATTTATCATTATAAACAATACACTGATTTATAATAGCAAATCTCAGTACATTTGAGGATTCAATTTATATAAATTTTTCACTAACCATAATGTAATTACTTAAATCAATGATAGAAATGTCCTTGGAAAAATCCTTAAATATTTGGAAACTGACTAACACATCTAAATGTTTAACAAATAAATAAAAATAAATAAATAAATCAAAGGGCCTCTGGAACTGAATGAAAATGAAAGCACATCTTAACAAAATTTTTAGCATGATACAGAAGCAGCAATTGGATAAACTTAGAGCAGTAAACGTCGACATCAGAAAAATACTCTCAAAATAATGATCTAATCTTATGTCTAAAAAACCTATGAAAACTCCAAGGTAATCAGAAGAAAGGACATAAAGGCCAGTACAACAGGAATCAGTACAATAGGAAACAAAAAGGACAATCCAAAAAATAAATTTCTAAAACCAAAAGCTTGTTTTCTAAGGTCATTAAAATTTGTAAGTCTCTTAGCATACTGATTGGATCAAAAAATGAAGGTATAGGTTAAGGAGATAGCTTGGTGGCCTAAGCACCTGCCTGGCAAGCACAAGGTCCCAAATTTGATCCCTAGTACCACATGCCCAGAAACCCTAGCGCATTGTGCTAGCCCCAAAACTAGGCATAGTGACGCATGCCTATAATCTGTGTGCTGGGGAGACTGAGGCAGGAGGATCACCAGGAGTCCGAACTGTGTAGTGAGACCCTGTACCAAATAAATAAATTTTTAAAACATATATATATATATATTTTTTGAAGATATACATTAACAACATCAAGAATAAGTCAGGTATTTTCCTCAAAGTGCTTAAGTGCGGAGGATTCAACATTGCCAAACAGAGGAAGGATCACATTGCGGTTACTCATAGAAAATACCTCAAAACATAGGTAGTTGGAAGAAAGGGAGGGACATACATCCTGATACCAAAACCAATCTGAAGTAAAAGACTTGAATATTAAACAAAACAAAAGCATAGAAGGAAGCACCACTCTGGGAAATGCCCTGAAAGCTGACAGACTGTAATAGTATGGCAAACTCAATCCATACAGGATAAATTTGGGATATAAGGCCCTATAACCTCTTTTGCCTTCTTCCAGAAAGAATACATTGTATCCTGGCAAGAAATTTTACTGGCACACAAAGGAGCAAGTGACTGGGAAGCTGCTCCCTCCACTATGGGCTGCCAATTTTTGTTTTCTCTTTTGTCCTATGCCATAGCAGCTAACTGAAACCTTTAACCTCTAGCAACAAGGTTAGAGACTGAAGCCTCAGTGGTGAAGGTATTGAGTACAACAGTATTACCCCTCCTGCTGTGCTCCTAGAAGTGTGAGAGGGATGCAGAACTTAACCTTAAGTCAGTGGGGCAACAAGTGGGAAGTTATGACTTCTCTTAATGCATGAGTTGGCCAACAGCATTCTCCCTGCCCTGCCACAGTGGTGCAAGAGGAGAGGGATGTACCAGACATGTGGAACAGAGGCTGTGCAAGGGCTGGGAGGATATGACTGTATATAGGCCTGGGAGAGGCCTTTGGCTCTCTTGGTCCTAGGGTTGCCACAGCAACTGGAAGAGCAACACAAGAGACACAGGGTAAGGAGCCAGGCGGGGGAAGGATGTGCAGAAAGTTGCTAGGTGAAGTCTCTGGGGCTGGGGAGATAGCTCAGTGAAATAAGTGCTTGCCTGGCAAACACAGGGTCCTGAGTTCAATCTCTGGTGCTGAAAAAAAAAAAAAAAAGACTGGCTCCAGCGCACACGTCTGGAGGCCATGATCAGTCCCACACCTAGTACTAGTCCTACTGCCGACTTGGTGAGGCTACCCATAACATCTGGAATCTGATTTGAACACTATCACAGAACTGAGGAACTTTATTTTTGCTGTTATTGGTTTGCTTTTCCTTTTTTGTCTTTTTTTATGGTTTAGGTTTTTACTTTTATTATTTCCATTGTTTTTCTCTCTCTACTGAATTTATTTCTTGATTTCTTTTTATATTTTCATGTCAACAAACCTTGTCTCTGGTCTTTCTGGTTCATTTCAATATCACCTTGCTTTCTCCTTCATTCTTTGTCTCCTTTCCTATTCTCTAATTTCCCAAAGCTTGGGTGATCATCCTTTGTCCTTCAGCCTTGCTTCTATTATTCCACCTTTTTTTTTTTTTTTTCCCCCTTTGGTGGAACCGGGGATTGAACTCAGGTCCTTGTGCTTGCCAGGCAAATGCTTATTCTACTGAGCCATCTCCCGGCCAGCCTTGCTTCTATTATATTTCTCTTCATTCATCTGTTTTTCCCTCTCCCTCTTAACTTTTCCCCACACAGGATAAAAATCACTGTATTGAGGGGCCTCTCACAGCTACAACTTCCAAACTTATGTAGGATGTTATATAGCTGTAGATCTTGCTTCTATGGTTAAAAGTACCAAATTAATAGTCACCATAGCTTCCATTTCTAGGCTGTGCTTGATGATA